GTGGGCCTCTGCTGTGTGTTATTTGCACGTCGGGTCACTGGTGGGAGATCTTAGAGTTTTCACAAAGGTTGAGAAGTTAGGTCAAAGTAGACCTTACACATAAACGTAAAACACAAAACAGTAACACTTCTAGACAGACTTATCGAAATGCATCACTAAGAAAATGGCCAGGAACTGGGAGAAGGTATTTGTAAAACAAGGTTAGGACAAAGGATTTGTATGCAGGATATATAAGAATACATGAAGTGTCATTATAACTCACCTAGAGGCCCAGTGCATGGATTAGTGCACCAGTGGGGTTTCTCAGCACGGCCTGCAGTGATCGGGATGCTGCCTGCAGGGATCGGGATGAAACTGACTCTCCAACATCCCCCGAGGGGTCCCGGATTGCAAGAGGGCACAGGCCAAGCAGAGAGACCCAACTCGTGCACAATCGTGGTCGGGGAGGGCTTCAGGGTGTGTCTGGCCCGTCTTGCCCAATCCCGATTGGCCAGACCCCAGCATCAAGCTAACCTACCAGTCAGAGCATCTACCCTCTGGTGGTCAGTGTGCATCATAGCTACTGGTTGAATGGTCGAACAGTAGATTAAGCTTTTATACACACACCCACAAATAATAGCCTAGGTCCGTGGTCGGCAAACTGCGGCTCGCGAGCCACATGTGGCGGCTCTTTGGCCCCTTGAGTGTGGCTCTTCCTAAGCCTTAGGAGTACCCTAATTAAGCTAATAACAATGTACCTACCTATATAGTTTAAGTTTAAAAAATTTGGCTCTCAAAAGAAGTTTCAATCATTGTACTGTTGATATTTGGCTCTGTTGACTAATGAGTTTGCCGACCACTGGCCTAGGTGGTTGTCACGCCGTGATGCCCTCACGCTGTCACAAGGAGGCTGCGTGTGCAGCAGTCGCGTGCGGGTGGGTGGGGCTGCGTGCATGATGAGGCGCCCGCGGGTGGGCCAGGACTTGATGCTGTGTGTGTGTCGCGGAGGCAGGGCCCGGCAGCTGCTCCATACAACAAGGCCTGGGGGGCCCGCGGCGCCGCACCATGGAGGCGAGACCCCCGGCTCCAGGCTACCTCTTTGGGGCAATCCATTGAGGAGCCCCGGAGTTCCGGGTCTTGTGTGATTTCGCACATTGGGTCACTAGTAGATAATAAAAAGGTATACACTTAATAAAAAATGAGGAAAACGTATTTGAATGAACAATAAGCTCACAGCAATGTGCTTAGCATCCTCTGTCATCAGGAAAATACGATCAAAACCATAAGTAAAGGGACGTGAACTCTGGGTAGGGTAGACAATGTGTGTGAACCTTCACACCAACTTTCTTCACAGCCCACACGTCTCACACATTGCTCTTGTGTCACATACCACGGCTGCCTCGGCAGCGCTGTGGCAGCTTTATTCGCACCAGGCAAAAAACCAAAAGAAAAAAATACCTAAATGTTCACATCGGAGAAATGGACACACCAGCTGTGGTCCTTCCTTACATGGAATTCCATTCAGCAATAAAAAGGTCAGTGCCCCTCACGGACAGACCCGGGCTCCGGTGACGGTTCCTTGTCCACGAGAAACTCGGGCCTGCGGGAACATGAGCCAGGAGAGTGGATGGGCGGCACGAGGAAGGAAGGCGGGGCCCGGGGACGGTGGAAATGTCCCCTTCCTGGGTGACGGCGTGGTTACCGGGTTCATGTGTTTGTCAGAGGGTGGAGGTTCCCGCTGAAGGTTGATGAGCTTCCCTTTCAGTTTTATCTAAAAATCAAAAAGTATCTAAAAATTAAAAAAATGGCCGAAGCCAGTTTGGCTCAGTGGATAGAGCGTCGGCCTGCAGACTGAAAGGTCCCAGGTTCAATTCCGGTCAAGGGCATGTACCTGGGTTGCGGGCACATCCCCAGTAGGAGATGTGCAGGAGGCAGCTGATCGATGTTTCTCTCTCATCGATGGTTCTAACTCTCTATCTCTCTCTCTTCCTCTCTGAGAAATCAATAAAATATATTTTTTTAAAAAAAATGAGTCGACATTGATCGCCCACGTGAGTCCCTGAGCCCCCATGTGGAGGTCGGCGTGCTCACAGTGGACTGTCGGACGGTGCCTTCTGTGTGCTGCGTGGACACGTGGAGGCGGAGGGCCAGGCCCCACCTGGTGGGAGCAGGAGTTACAGGGACAGACGGAAGGCCAGTGGGCGCTGACGATGGAATGGGAGGCCGCAGCACGGACACACTCCCCACATGGTCCCCGAGGGAACCCTGGCTTGCCTGTGTCCAGTCTCTAGGTCTCTGTGGCTTCAGAATGTCCCCCCACTCTTCTGAGAGGGCTGGGCCTCGAACGAGGAAAGGACAGGGGCAGCTCGCACCCCCCAGGCTGGAGTCTGCCCGGGTCTGTCTGCCATCCAGGGTACGGTCTGGTGGGCAAAGGGGATGGTGGGCGGGTTTCCTACAGGGCTGCCCAGCGTGGAATTCTTGTTGGGGTTAACCTCACCCTCTCCGTAAGTCCTGGCCCTCAAAATTGGGGACAACCAGGAAAAAAGCCAGCTCCTTGTCCTCCATGCTGTGGGTTCCCCTTCCCGGGTCTCAGGCTCCCTTCTGTGCAAGCAGAGTCTGGCAGGCACAGGCATTGGATTAGAAAAATAAA